GAGACTCTGAGGACGGACGGACGGACAAAAGGACACACACACAGAGAGACATTCATTTGCACAACATTTTGATGTTATCACACAACAGGGCTCTGTGGTTGAAAAGACTAAGAGGTCACATGACTGAGCTGTGTTACTGTGTTGGTGTTTGACTGAGCTCATGTGCACTGAAGAGTAGATTATGTTTAAGTATCTATTTAAGTCATTTATTAGTAGAAGTTCAGATTAAACAGGATTAAAACAGTTTAGACAAGGCAAGGATTCTCCAAGTACTCTGCAATGTTATTTAATGTGACAAAGATAAATGAATCTATTTGACAGGGTACAGTAGTAGTAACACCAGTGATACTGCACAGACAGATTCTCCTCATTGAAATATTCAGCACAACTTGAAATGACACCAGCTGTTCAGGTTTCTTTGGTCTAGTGGTTTGGACTAAGACGAACGACGTCCAGCTGGACTTGGAAAAACATTCGGCTCGCTCCGTCTTTACCTGGGAAAGAGAAGAGCCTGCTGTCCACAGTGCGGGCTATGGACTGCAGTTTGACCACATCCATGGACTGGCCTATGTGCACTGTGGACGGCATGCTGCCCAAGGTGCCACGCACAAATTCTGCCACTTCCTGCACGGTGAACATCTGCAGCAGCTCATCAAAGATCGCTGGGAACGAGTTCAACAGAGCGGCCTGAGGAGGGGGAGGGAGGGAGAGAGAAGAGGGTGAGAGGAACATTCACAGCGGAGGGTACAACAGGAAGAAGGGAAGGAAACATTTAAGATAAAGACTGGGTTCTGTTTTTGGCCAGGTTCTGTGTCTGCATTTATGGCAAAGAGGAATGTGACATAACGTCACTCTGTAATAAGACTAAAGAGACAGAGCCGAGTCAGGGGGACACTGAGTAAAACCACACAGCGGTGGGAGGGCGGTCGGCCCAGACGCCAGAGCAAACAAACACCTCCAGTAACTGTTGGAGTGTTACACTGCAGGCTCTGTTCTGTAGGCAACCCAGCATCAAGCATCACCACTGGTACAGTATGTGTTAAACTAAGTGCTGCATTTTCCAACACAGCTGTTCACCAGCTGAGACGTTAAAAAGACAAACAGGAGAGTGAACAAGAAAACAGGTCAGTGAATTAATTCAGTGGACAAAAACAGATCGCAGCAAAATTAACAGGGACAGAATAATTAAGAAAAAGAAAATGTAGGACTGAGTTAAGAAGAAAAAAGAAACGTTGTCAGGGAAAAGTCAAGATGTTAAACACATCAGAGCTGCAAGTCTGAGTAGAGGAGGACAAGTGTTTTCAGTGGCACAGCACAAGGAAGATGGTGCAGCCGTAATGTGAGTATGAAGAACTTGTTGAAGTGAATTCATCTCCACATGTGAATCAACGGCCACTCTTCAGGGTTTGATGTGAGCTGAGGGGTGTGACTGCAGCAGGAGACGTAACAGCTAACACTCTGGAGCGTAATGTGTTTGTAGAACAACAGGGGTGTGTCCTGTCAGTGCAGGTTGTATAAGGCCTGTGTGTACATGAAAGATGTCAGGGAGTGAGTGTGCCATCACATGACTGTGTGTGTGTTTAAGACTCTAGGGGCAGGGCACTGTAGTTTTCATCCACACGTCTACTTACTGACAGTGGCCGCAGAGCGTTGAAGCTCGAGGCCTGGGCGCAGCTGGCCTGCCCTGGGGCAGGGGGCGGGGCTTGGCCAGTGACTAGTGCTAAGAGAGCAGCAGGCCCAACACCGGGGCCTGGGACGCCAGTTGGGCTCGGACAAGGTTGGGAGCCCTGTGGTGCATGGGCGTGGAGGGAACAAGCCCAGGGGGAATAATAGGGACCCAAAGGAGCAAAGAATTGTGGGAGATTGAAAGAGATGTTTAGGAAAGGTCCAAGGAACAAGTAGAGAGGATCATATGGGAGATAAGAGTCAGAGTAAAGCAACTAGGAGGAGATGGGAGACAAGCTAAGGAAGAAACACGTTTCAAGTACAAGCAAACATAATTATATCATCGGGGGAACTGTTAAAAACAAATGAGAGTTTCAAATAAACCAGGACAGTTTGCATTTCAAACAGGAGTCCATCATTTTGACATTTGATGCTTCAGTGATTAAAGACCTAGAAACTAAACATTTAGAACAAAGAGTTTAACCCATGTTCTGTTCGTGTGTGTTCACCTGTGTGAAGATGAGGGTCTCTGAGCTGCGGCTGTCCAGACTGAGGACGAAGCGGATCGACTGAAAGAGTTCCTGGATGCCGCTGCGAAACTGCTCCTCCTCCATACCACCGGTGGCCCGAGAGTAAAGGATCCGAGACTGGATGATGAACTTAAAGAGATACTCCAGGGCCTGATGTGTGTGAGACGGAAACGAGGAGGGAGGAGGACCCAGAAGACATTCATCAAAACATTATCACCAAATGCATTTGTTTTACTAACACATTAACATTCATCAGACACAATGTTTAACAACTACAGAAAAGAGAGAGAGACGTTCCAGAGTCGATGTGACTGAGTCCTAAACCATGGAAGTTTAATTCTGTCAGTTTAAGTTTCTTTACTCCTGTGAGTTCATCAACGTCTAAAGTTATTCTTGCATTTCTTTAGAATTCTGTTTAAATGTCTAACAAAAGATGTTGATCGAAGCCGATTTGTCTGGTTATAAAATGTAAAAACACAATAACACCAGTAAACTTGCACATCTTTCGCAGGATGAATCAGAACAGGAGAGAGAAAATACAAGCTGTGCACAAAAGGCACAGTCACCGTGGTGACGGACACGGGCTGAAACTGTCGGACAAGAGGAGAGAAGCTTGTTACATATGAATAGAAACTCAGATCTGAACCAACAGCTGCAGCTTAAACTACATCGTCCACGTTTACACGACAGCGTGACCCATCTGAGTCCGAAGTTTGACGCAGCGTCTGTCTGTTTGTGTGGTTCATGCTGCTCTAAACTCAGCCACAGGACTGATGCAGCAGTGAGTGTGTGCAGCTTTGTGTCGGCAGACTGAGCAGCGACATTCAGTGGTGACAAGTTACAAAGACACTTTATGATTCAAGGTGTCCACATATTGTACAGATCGCAGAGAAGTTCAAGGTAAATGCCAGCACAGAAGTCACTGAAGCAAAGAGGAGGATATCAGCAGCAGGTCAAGCGTTAAGATAAGGATTAAAGTCAGTGTGTTGGTAGTGAAAGCCAAAGGGAGTAAAGAAAGCCTGAGGCATCAGTGTTTGTTTAGCTGGTGACAGTTAGGTGGTGGTTACTAGATCACACCTCCAGGACAAATCTCTCCTTTCTTCTTTATATCATTTACTAAGTGAAACAAACTAAAGGTTGGAAGCTCCATATTTGCAAACTGTGATTTTTACACACACAATTATTAGAACAGCTCCAAAGTAACAAGCAGATTATTTACTTGAGTAACTGATCTCATCATACTGTAGGAACCTTTGTCGTCTTGTGTTTCTAAAACTGGTAATGACTCCTGCTGCAGCAGCCTCCTATCTCAGGGACTTTACAGTGGACATATCAGACCACAGCCCGGGTTCTTACCCTCATGGCTTCCTGTATGTGGTCCTGTCTCACCACCTCTGCAGAGCGGTCCATGTACCACTTCAGACAGCGGATCAGCTCTCTGAAACACAACACACACACACACACACTGCATTTAAACCTACAGTTTAACAGACACACGAGCTACTCAGTGAGATTCTCCCTTTACAGGACTTGGACCTGAGGTACAGCAGTGACCAGCTCTGATCCCAGTGCAGCACAGTGGTGTTTTCAGAAGGGCCCGAATGCAGTAAAACTTGAAATACTACAAACACATTTCAAACCAGAAATAACAACAGCAGCAACAAAATAGACTTTAAAAAACAAAAGCTCCTCTGATTTTGGTTAAATTCTTATTTGGTGCCAGCTGCCAGGGCTCCACTCCTCTATAAGACAAATCTGGGTCAGTGAAACCATGTTACCAACTTAACTTAACTCCTTCACCTGAATATTTACAATAATCCTGTTATTAGTGAGCATGTAAATGTACTTCAGATAAATATCTTAGACCTCAAAGTGTTGAGTGATGGTAAAACCAGTCTGACAAGAGTGATAACACAACTTACATGACAAACATACTGTACAATCAGGAACACACATATCTGCATATCGTTATTATTAAAGTGAAGCAGAGCACAGCTCGTCAGTGCACTGACCACTGAACCAGCCTGTTGTGTTGCCGTTAGGCAGCCAGAGTAAAACACTCACTTGTAGGCCAACGCCCCAGCAAAGTGCTTCTGGATGTACGTGTCCATCACCGGCCTGAAGTGGTAGAATTTACTGTGACAAAGTGGATGAGAACATTCCACTTGTCCCTAGGTTAAGATTGACTGATTGATTGATTTATTCTTTCAAACATGCAGAACAGAACAAATGAACAAATGACAACACACACATAATTACACATATCCAACCAATGCCAATCCAAAATCAGTTTGCTTATACCTATTACATGTTTGAATGGAGTAGGAAGAAGTCAGACTTATCCAGTCCTACCCCATAACATCAT